ACTTGGCTCGAACTCGCACTCGAGCTCTTACCCTAAGGCCACCACACCCCTTGCTTGACACCATTGAAAGGCACCTGAACCCGGCTCCCTCGCTTTATACAGTAAAAAGCTCGCATAGGTTCATTGTTTAACATATTCCGTTGGTTTAGCTGGAGTCTATATCGCTCTACCCCGGTAGTGTCCTCTTCTTCTGCTCCATTTGAACAATAGTAAAATTCTTTGGTAGGTATAAACATGAGTAAAACGCGTCTATTTATACATGCCCTTTACTTTATTTATTTTTTTTGGCAATAAACCACAGTATACATTGTTACGTCGGAATACAACTTGAATGAGTACTTTATATGCCTTATAGATAAAACCCGCTTCATATTGCGAAAAACTAACTTTTGTGCCAAACACCTTCCCAAAAAACTTTGTTTAAGAATCCGACTCTGGATTTCAGTATTTTGAATTAGTCAGAAACAATACAGATAATTCAAATCTTATTACACTACATTCTACTCCAGCAATGTTCCCATTTCACGATACCGAACCTAAATAAGATAGAGTCCAAAGCACGATAAGAGGCCTGTTATCTTCTTAGAAGACACCTTAACAACTTGTCTTTATCCCCTTGAACGGCCTCGACTTCAAGAGTAGTTCATCCTGCATGGCTGGGATGATGCCCTTGCGGAAGGCCACGGACAGCAGCTCATTGGCATCTTTGATGTTGGGATACTGACGTATCGCCCATTTCAGGTACACCAGGAACTCGTTCCAGTCGATGTAGCCATCTTTATCCATGTTGATGGCTTTCAACGCCTTCAGCGTATCCCGACAAATAAAGCAGCCAAAGTAGGGAGCCATGAAGCCATTATAGAAGGAATGGAACTTGAGAACGTCGTCAACTTTCTTATCTTCCTCGATATCCCATTTGTCCCAGATCCTGCGGACCTCTTCAATGAGATGCTGGGCGTGCACACTTTTCACCTCGGCCTCTTCTATCACCTCTGCCATCTTGGCGGTGAGTTTTCCTCCTGCTCGATCAAACAGGAGAGCGATGCCCACTGCACTCATGTATTCTTCTTTCCTGTTGACGGTCAGATCCTCCAGCATTTTCTCTTTCATGGTATGCGCCATTTCCATCGTAAACTGCGGATCTGCACCAAACAGATCCACTAGCCTCTCGTGGATCATGCGGTCGGAGGACAGAGTGCTAATTCTAACTGGAGCTTCCTCTCCAAAGAACTCGGCCAGATTGAAGTCGGTCTCTCCAACTGTACCACCAGCAATGCTTCCAAAGTCGAATGCCAAGTCCAGCGCCCTTTCGCCGTAGATAACTTGTTTAGGATGAGGAGGCATCCCGGTAGTGATCTTAGTCACGTTTGATGCGGCTTCCCTCAGCTGTGTACACTTGTAACTATTCTGGACTTTGGTGTTGCCCATTCGCACAAGATTCATCAGCGTCACTGTAGAACACGCGTGACCAAGAGCCGCTCCTTCTTCGCAGACGCTCGCCCAGATACCATTGGCTCCGTTGACAAGACATTCAAGTTGCGTCATTTCTCCGAGGGCCCACTTCTTGTGGACATGAGCCAGAAGATGTCCAGACCATCCACGGGCATCCATGATCTTACGCACACCTAAATAGTAAATATGTACTCTTACAAATGCTCTTTTATCCCTAATTACGACTCAAATAGTGAGAAGGAATGATGTTTTTTAGGTTTTCCTCTAATGTTCGGGTCGTTTGGATCATAGTAAATAGAGGGAAATGGTTATGAAACCCGACAAAGTTCTTTGTTATATGTTTTTGTTCGCCTTTTTGGCCTTGACCTTGCACAAAACACAATAGTTGTTTACTCCGTACTGAGGAACTAACCAATAGAAACGTTTTGGTGACGTAATTCATGCATAGTGTGTGAACCCAAAAAAAAAGATTGTGCACGGTCGTGGACCGTCCAACACAAATCTTGAAATCTTTGTTTGCTCCTTTGATATTTGCCGGGCTTCATAACCAGTTCCCTCTGTTATCTATGTTTGGACTAAGGTTTAAAAGAAGTGATACAACTTCAACTCCATGCGACTAGCCTTTAGCTTCCAGAACATAAAAGATACTTCGTTTACAACATTAACAGAAGTATTTTTGATTTTTCGAATGGGTTACATGGAGAAGAGTAAAGTAAGCTATCTTATTTATCTTATTTCTATTTGTTGTTGTTGTTGTTGTCGTTCTTACCTGCAGTCCAAGCTCCTACTTCCTCTGGTAAGAACTTGCCAGTTGGCTCCTCGAACAGAATCCCAAAAGGACGCTCAGCAGCAGACAAGGATCCCAAGAAGTCCACAACAGTGAACAATCGCTCCATCTGATACACCATAGAGTCAGGGAAGTCTCGTAGATTAACCATGATCTTGGCATCAGGGGAGAGCTTGCTTCTACTCCATTTAATCCTTTCCGACAGCAGCTTGCACATGTCCTGGACTGTGAAGACCTCCCAGTTAATGGAATCGATGGCGAGATCTATCTCGATGATGGGATTGATCAATCCAAGAGATTCCATCTTGCTCAGGCCTACTGGAGTAGTCTTAGTGTCAGGGATACCGTCATTCACTGCTTCCATAACTTCAGTGAAGGCAAACAAGTTGCTGACGTCTTCTCCTCTAGCCACGAGCTCACGAAGAAAGGTGTCGTCGACGCGTGTCATGTGCGAGAAGGCAGCTACGATGATGAACTTGAATCCACACTTTTGCACCTCGTTGTAAATCTTCCACTTGTTTTCTAGCGTGTGGCCTCTCAGCTGACCCACGGTGCTCTCACGGATTGAGTTGTCCAGTACAATCAAGTCCAGGTCTTTCAGTCTCGCTCGTTTTCTTTTCTCCTGGCTAATGCTCTCACCAACCTCTTTTATTACGTCTTCAAATGGCATATTACACTCAGTAGAAACCTAAAAAATATTAACGGAACATGCTTAGAGATCAACCGAAATACTAGCTTCCAAGTGATACCCTATAACCCTATACCCTATATGTATACTTTAGTAAGTTACCTTCTGACAATAAGACTCACACCCTTTATCCTCTCAGGGTGGACAATTAATATAGAAAAACCACAGTTTATAACGTAGCCTGGTTCTCATATGCCGCCGACATTCCTGGGACGGCCTGGGACACCGTTACGGCATATGTGAACATTTATGGCCGAATCATCATAATCTATCCCAGGCATTGACCGCCGGCTTGGCTGCGAAGTTGAGCTGACTGTTCAACTTCGCAGGCGAGCCGGCGGTTGTCGGCGATGAAAAGATTTTGTGTCAACATCATCTGCGGGTGCAACGCGCTCCAGTAAGACGATTCGATCCATATTTACAGGTAAAATGGTTGAAAATTGCGCAATTCGATTTGCATTTCGCGCAAATTTGAGTACGTCGGCGATCCATCGCAGATGCGCCGGGGACCCACTGGGACAGATCGCCGAACGTTGTCACTTACAACCGGCGACGACGTCGCAGGTAGGTCGGCGAGATATGAGAACCAGGCTTTAGCGAAGCGCGCGTTCTTAATGGCTAATATGCTCGATCCATTTACCCGTGGGTTGCACGCTGACATCAGTTTGCTTATTTGTACTTTTTCTTGGCAATTTCTTCATCGATGTTGACACTTTGTAAAACATTACTCCTATTTTTCTTCTCCTAAAATATGAAAAAATCTAATAATTCTTCCGGAGATGAGGATTTTTATTCCTGTGAGCTACCAAATTTCGAGCTTAAGTTTTTTTTGCCGGGCCCCCACCTGAGAAATTTGCGAATTTAAGCAAGCCCAGGAGTTGAATCAGCTGGTTGAACAAAGGCACACGGCACCAGGAGACGGACCAAAATACACAACAAACTGGTCTGTATCAACCTTTCAAGGTTATTAATGCATAGCGGGAATTTTAGAGAGAATTTTTCTTGACGACAACAAAATTCAGCACAAGCTTTCATTGTAAAACTTTTCTGACATCGAAAGCCATTTAAATGCTTTCGGCGAACAAAACACGAAAGTAGACTAGGTTTACACTAGAGGAAACTGTTCCGGATTCGTGACTAATCCGGAACGTTTTAGTACCGTTTGGTTTTGCTGTTTACACACAAGTGGACGACTCCGAAATAAAAACTCCCCGGTTTGGTCATGTCTCCGGAGATTTTGGAATCCGGAATTTAAAGTGGGAACTTTGAACCCGAAAACTTTTGTCGTGTAAACGGTTCTCTCAATCTGGTTCCCAGAGCCCACGTGTCTTTTGGTTAGCGCCGAGACACGGAGCTCTGGAATAATCAATTTCCAGACTCCAAGATTTTAGGAGTTCCGGTTTCACCGCGCATGCGTACCTTGGTTTAAAACATGGTAATCTAGTTCCCAGAGCCAACGTGTCTTTTGGTCAGCGCCAACGAAAAGACACGTGGGCTCTGGGAACGAGATTGGTTTTCTCCCGAATCCGGATATTTTCCGCCTGCGATCTTTTGAGTTTGCGGCAGAACCAAGCGGATCTTGTAATGGAGATTGTCATGGAGTCGATGGAGTTATAGTCGTAGTCAGATCGATGGCTATTGATGGCCATCTTTTATAATGGGTAAATGATATTCGTCAGAAACCAGAATTATCGACGCAGACAATGTTGACGACCGACCTCCACACTTCATCAGAGTTGACGATGGCACGATCGATCGAAAACCTCGACGATTCAGGATAAGACCAGGGCAAATGCCTGGTGGGACAACATGATTGGCAACAATAGCTGGTAAGCGAGTGGAAAGAAAACTTCAGACTGTCTCAACCTAACCCTAGCCTTTCTTTGGCGGCATTTTGTTTCTGGTTGTCGAGACAACAAACAGCTAGTTAACAATTTCATCATGAATGTTCCCGGAGTTGTCGTCGTGTGTAAACGGTTAGGAATCTGTACATCCTTTCAGTGTAAACGCCTACGAATCCGAATACTCTAAAATTGATGAATCCGGAAACATTTACGAATCCGCAAAAATCTCCTCTAGTGTAAACCTAGTCGAAAGCTTTAACAAATCTTTGTTTGTGAAGTCTCACATACGAAATCCTATTGTTCCAAAAACGTTAAAGGTAATAGTTTTTCTGAGCTTTAATAAAGGAAATTTTGTCAATTATATGTTGCCTCTGATGAATTATTTCAGTACTCGGGTTTTAGTTTTGCTCGGACGCTCGTCGTTCGATCGTAATTGAACTCTTGAAGAAACAGCCGCTCGAAGGAAAGACTGTATCGTGCACGAATATAAACTTACATTTCTGACAATTTCCTTTAGGTATCAGTCTTCTGTTCATTTAGGCTTATGTTACTACGGCAGCCCAGAAGGGTCACCAACCATTTTTGCGTTTGTTTTGTTTTTCTAAATTTTTGTGGTTTTTTTTATTCTTTTTAATTTTGTATTTTTAACTTTTGTTTTTTTATTTTGTTTTTTGTAATTTCTGTTTTAATTTTCGTTTTGCCTTTCGTTTTAATTTTAGTTACTGTTTTGCGCTTTTTACGTTCAAAAAGAAAACAAAAACAAAAACAAAAACATTACACAAAAGCAAAAACGAAAACGAAAACGAAAACGGCCGAAACAAAATCGATGAGTGTAGACCATCATGCTTCACTTGCAGTTGGGAACTTTACAATCCATGACGTGAAAGTAAGTACGGGACGTTGACCACAAATGGGGTCTTTGTACTGTGTGCCACTCGTGTGTGAGGTACCGAAAGGCAAATTCTGAGGACTAAGACAAATATCGTGACAAATGCTCATGTCCACCCTCAGTGGCCTAAGTAAGGTATGAGTCCCTTCCTATATTTTCTCCTTTGCCAAAAGGTGCTCACATGCAATATGTTTGCATCTGTCAGGTTTCTATCACACTCAAACACGAAAACCTCAAACAATAAAATAGAAATAAAACACAGAACACGCAAA